TTTTAACGCGGCTCAATGAGGGCGTTCACATGAGCTGAAGCAGGTCCCTTACAGGTTGATGCCGTAAGATTCAAAGATGCTCTAGAGTGGCTCCACAGTAGATTTATGTCAGCGTGTGTAAGCGTGTGAGCGCGTGTTCCGGTCCTAATTAATTTCTACAACGATGAATTATACTTTCATTTGTCACTCCCCTTTATCATCGCCCGGTCATTATCACAAAATACGTCTAGACTACTGTTGATGATCACTTGATACACGAGTAATTAACGGCCGAGATTCGGGAGTTAATTGAAATGAATGATTGTCTTTCAATTGAAGTGACATGTCACTTTGCATTCGTACCGATGTAGCATCTGTTTCATTTAATGTTGATAAAACATCTGTAATTTGTCACAGGTCTGTAAAATATTAATCACCTCAACAACATACCTGAGGATGTACAAAATACAGCTTTACAAGCCTGACTAGGTTGCAGCAACCTTAATAACTTACTGTAAGAAGCAAAATGTGGAAGATTTGGTCGAGCACCATGTCTTTTTGCACTGGTAATAATTCATTCACGATACAAACGATTATGATCCGCAGATAAAGATTTAGCTCAACGAGGTCACTCCCTGGACTTGTACGCTACCAACAGGAGCAAAATCGATGGTCTTTATTCTGGCTAGGTGTATAAATAGCTCTACGACCTTTGTATAGACAATTTATGCTATTTTTAACTAGCCCCAAATATATAACTTTACTGCCTATCAATGGGAAACCGTCTAGATTGTGTGTCGTGCGACCAGCAGTTCACGTGTACGCGTAACTGTCTTTTACAAAGGTACGTTATCTTCATAAATTCCTCTACTTCGATACTGAGAAGTACTTACAATTTCACTTGGTCGCACAACCCTCCACTCAGAGGTGGATCACACTTCTTTCTTAACTAAAGACTGAGCAAAAGATGCTGCCAACGAGCACCTGCTGCACTTGAAGTCCTTGTGACTTTACCATGCGTGAATGTCTGAGCTTATTTGCACTGGGAGTCCGTTCCCTTCCAGTCGAATGAACACATTAACGTGCTTCCATAAAAAAATCACAGTCATTGCGACTGACGCACGAAAGAAAATTTAGTGAGAATGCCAAGTTTTTATGAGTGACTACCAAAGTCCTGGCCGCCATCACTCAAAGTCTTGCGACCTATTTTCACCA